TATAGGCTTACGTGGCATGGATGTTTTCTTTCTTTCCAACCTTGGCTCGATTTCAGGGACCCATAAAAACATCAGCTGGAGGAAGAAATCCGTGTGTTCAGCTGAAATAACATTGAGGCATAAATTCTTTTCCTCACCAGTGAGGAGACCAAGATACGGCGGGAAAGACTTAAGTTTTGCTACACATTTTAAAGAGCAGCTGAATGAGAGGAGAGAAAAACACTTCAGGCTGGTACATCTGAAGGCAGCTGAAGGCTTCAGTTCTAAACATAACAACTGAAGTTATTTACAAACTGCAAGTAAAATCCCTCTTTTCCAATTCATTTAGAACCCCTGCTTGCTATAAAATGATCAGGAAATTGGACAGGAGAACTTGTTTTGCCAACTGCGAAAAATGCAGCTGATTGAAATCTGAAACTGAACTGCTGAGATGATAAAGGCTCCCTCCCTGACAAATCCGGGTTGAAACCAGGATGTGGCCCCTTCCGCTCTGTTCTCTCACTAGCTATTTTGGGTTATTTTTTCTGAAGGCAGATGTAATTGTTAAATTTGCAGATGTCACGTTTAGTTCTCCACATCTTGGATGTATATCTTTTTTTACAGGAAGAAAGTTTAATTGACAATTACATTTTCCTCCCTAGACCCTTTTGGCCTGCGTAGAATGTTTCTGTTTCGAGGGAAACCTGTACTGAATGTTTCCCCTAAATTCTTTTTAGAGTTCATGGTCCCTGCATGCAGCTCAGGGAATATGACCCCATCCCAGGTCTCATAAAATCAGCTGCAGTTAGAAGAATCAAGGTGCCAAAGAACCATTTCAGGACTTAAAAAGCAACCGTGTCTGATGGGAGAGGGTGGGGCTCAAAGGCTGTTTGCCTCAACAATGTGGGAGGGACAGGAGAGGTAAACTGGCAACCAGAGCTTTAATGCCATGGGTGACTACCCAGCTCCGGGGGACTCAATCCCAGTTCACAGGTTGAAATCCTAACTAATCCCCAGTGTGATGGTACCTGGGGAGGTGATTAGATCATGAGGGTGGAGGCCTTGTGCATGGGATTAGTGCCTTATGTAACAGGCCCCAGAGAGCTTCCTGGCCCTCTTCCTCCACTTGGGGACACGGGGGAAAGAGCTGTTTGTGAACCGGGAAGCAGACTGTCACCCAGTCTGCCAGCACCTTGTCCTTGGACTTCACAGCACCCAGAAGTGGGAGAAATACGTTCTGTCCTGCCAAGATTATGATAGTTATGTTACAGCAGCCTGAGTGGACTAGGCCCCACCTAAACTAACAATAACTCACTTTTATTGAGCCACGTGCCAGGCACTGCTCTGAGGGCTTTACACTCATCCCCTCACTTGATTCTCACATATTTCTATAAAGTACGTACTGCCGCCAATGCAAACAAGTGAGGAAGCTGGGCTTCCAGAATTTAGGTCACTCATCCGGGATACCACTGGGGAGAGTTAGAACGGACATGCTGTGGATTTTTAGCACCTTCCCCCTTTCCTCCCTTTCCAACCCCCCAGTCCCCACCAGGGATGGGAATCATTCCAGCGGACCAACTTGGGGGGATCACATGATATGGGCTTAGCCAATCAGCACAGGGCCCAGGAGATTGGTCAGAAGTGGTCATGTGACCTAAGCCATTGTCCTCAGAACAAATGCAGGGCTTGCAGCCAAAGGTGTCTGTCCTTGTTTGTACTTTAGATAAGTGTAAAACTATTTTCTATTATAGGAAAGATGTCTGAAGGTGAAGCCAATATTTAGGGAGGCCAGAACTGAAGGAGCTGTAGAGATATATCTCAGTGAGGTACTGATAATGGCTGTGAACCTGCGCAGCAAACCGTGGCTGACGCCTCACTCGCAGGGACCCAGCAGGTCCATGGGTCGAGGAGGCCCCTGGATGTGGAAGCCAGAGGGATTGAGTCTCTGTTCTTTACAGCCCAAGCATTCTGAGTGATACACTCACACTGCCCCAATGGATCTTCAGCTTTCTGCCTGGGCCCTAGCCTGGTGAAGCTTTCCTTGGGCATTGGCATTTCTTAAAAAAAAAAAAAATATGCGTATACATAGATACCGAGAGGTTCCCTTAAAACACGAGGAAGGGCCAGTGGACACCAAAATGACCGCAGCTGGCTGATTTCCATGAACTCTTTGGTTTGGGGGGCAGAGCATAATTTTGAATCAGAGTTTTTTTCCATGGAAATTTATTGAGAAATTTTTAACATACAGGATGGTGATTTTGAAACAGCAGCACCATGAGAAGTAAACTAACTTCTTCATTAGCAAACCCCCAACCAGTTGGGGCACATGGACAGATGGTCTGCCTGGGAGAGCTTGCCTTGGGGGCTGCCCGCCTCCCCCTTATTACCTCCGGCTCCCTGGGGTATGTCAGTTCCCAAGGCCATCTTAGCTGCTGTGTTCTGCCAGAGGGTTAAAGCAGTGAGAAGGATTCTTGGCTTTCCTCCTGCCAGGCCTGTTTACATTTTAACAGGAGACTTGTGAACAGTGAAATTCTTCCTTAACTTGCAGGAGGGAAATTCAAGGCCCACGACAGGACACGAGGACACACATATTTTGGGACAGAGAAACATTTTCGTTTTCTCTCCAGTCACACTTGTAGTGCAACCACTGTATCTCATGTGTGCTCAGTTACAGCTAGCCCTGTATATGGGAGACCCCGCTTCACCCCAAATGGCAGCCTCTGCAACAATCTCTCTCTCTCCCTGCCTCACACGCACGCGCGCGTGCGCGCGCGCGCGCACACACACACACACACACACAGTCTGTCAGTGAATTTTAAGACAAGGATGAAGAATAGGAAAGGGAACAGCTGAGCTGCAGAACAGTAAAAGGCGAGCTCATTCTCCAGGGGAATCTTGCTCCTGTCTGTGGGAGGCTGTGACAGCTGACTGAGCTGTTGGAACACGTGAACCCTCAGAACTTACCCACGGCCCCTGAAAGACATAAGAATGTTTGCTGAAAAGGAAGCAGGGGAATTTCTCACTAGAGGGAATGGAGAAGGATCAGAAATTCAGTTCACTGCTTGGGAAAGTAACAGCCTTACCCCCCCATGTGTTGTTCAGAGGAATGTTCCAGAACCTGGCATGGCTACTGCCTGTGTTTTCTCTCAAGAATTTGTGGGTGTAGGTGAGGATACTGCTGTAATTTTGTCTCACCATAACCCAGAAAACCTCAGATGCTGGTTTTAAAGTTTTGATTCACCAGCATGCTATTCCAGGTAGTTGATTTATGTACAAATGGTAATTAATAGCAACAAACATTTTTAAACTATGGATTTTTTTCCTCTTTTAATATCTAATCATAGTGGCAATTTCATGAATATGAAAGACCTGCAAATGATAAAGTCAGCCCAGTCACCTATCTCCAGCCCCTCAGTAAGGAGGGCCCAGGGACAGGGAAGGAGAAGGGTGGGGAGAAGGGTGCAGGATGGCAAAAGGGCTGCAGAGCCCTCCATGCAATTCTGTGAGTCCCAGCACAGGAGAAGACTGGGCTGCCAGAAGGGGTGTGACACATGCAGGCAACCCACTTATTTACAAAGAGCAGTAAAGATGGTGTTCCTGTATGTGTGTGAATGTGTCCTCTGGTCAGCACATGGCTGTTCAATGTTTCAGGGGGAAGTGAGTTACACGAGGGCAGGGACAGTGTCTGCTTTGCTCCCTGGAATATCCTGAGTGCTGACACAGAGCCTGGTATGTAAGCGTTCTGCAGTTATTTACTGAGTGAATGAGTGAGTGCATCAATCGAGGCAGCATATGCTGCAACCAGGGACAGCCATGCATTTGGGGATGAAGATATAGTGAGGTTTGCTCAGGCGAGATTTTTTTTTTATTTTGGTATCATTAATCTACAATTACATGAAGAACATTATGCTTACTAGGCTCCCCCTTTCACCCCCCCACAAACCCCATTACAGTCACTGTCCATCAGCATACTAAGCTGCTGTAGAATCACTACTTGTCTTCTCTGTGTTGCACAGCCCTCCCCGTGCCCCCCCATATTACACATGCTAATCGTAATGCCCCCTTTCTTTTTCCCTGCCCTTATCCATCCCTTCCCATCCATCCTTCTCAGTCCCTTTCCCTTTGTTAGTCCATTCTTGGGTTCTGTGATTCTGCTGCTGTTTTGTTCCTTCAGTTTTTCTTTGTTCTTATACTCCACATATGAGTGAAATCATTTGGTACTTGTCTCTCTCTACCTGGCTTATTTCATTGAGCATAATAGCCTCTAGCTCCATCCATGTTGTTGCAAATGGTAGGATTTGTTTTCTTCTGATGGCTGAATAATATTTCACTGTGTATATGTACCACATCTTCTTTATCCATTCATCTACTGATGGACACTTAGGTTACTTCCATTTCTTGGCTATTGTAAACAGTGCTGCGATAAACATAGGGGTGCATCTGTGTTTTTCAAACTGGGCTGCTGCATTCTTAGGGTAAATTCCTAGAAGTGTAATTCCTGGGTCAGTCAGGCGAGATTTTGATGCCACTCTTTGTAAGGCTTCAGCAGCTTCTCAGCCCTCAAGACCCGAGGGTGTGGGCCTTGCCCAGGAGAAGGAATGGCCCATTTTCCCATCGCTCTAATTTTAGCCAGCCCATCACCCTCCTGGATCTCTCAGAACTACTTGCACTGCAGCAGCACCTGGCACTGTCTGGAGGAAATTGTGTTATAACTACAGTATTGTGTGAAGATTTTTTGAACAGACCATGAGGAACAGCTGTGGGCCAGCTTGCTTTCTTCTGGGTAACTGGGGAAGTGCTCCTATGGAGCTGAAAGCAGGTGAGTCTGGGGTGAGGTGACCAATTAGAGGAGAAAGATGGACCCTCAAGACTGCTTAGTGTCCACAAGGATGCTCCTTAGAGGCAGAGACTTTCAGGGGCTTCATTACATTGGTGGGGTCTGGGGACATCTGGTCCTGGGGCTAAAATCAGCACCTGCACCTTCGGTGAGCCTCTGTCTGTCATCGACTGGCTCTTCTTACCCAGCCGGTTCAGCTTGAAGGGCTAGCTGCACTTGGAGCCACTCAGGAGCAAATGATGGTGGCATTGGCACAAGCCACAGTGGAATGGTTTCCATTGTACAGTTGCAGCAAAACCTGGTATTCTCCCTGAAAGGGACACGGGGAAAGCATGAGGTGTGGGGCTCACAGAACGATCAATTGTTCAACAATAGTTTTTGAGCACCTGTTAGGTGCTGGCATGTTGTAGACACTGGGTAGAAAGAGATAAGCCACACCCACTCTGTGGAGCTTCCAGGTGCTCTGGGAGGGGCAGACAGCGCATGCGATGATTACTGCTGTCTGCTGTGTCACGTGCTGATGCTCTGGGAGAGTCCAAGCAAGGAGGGGCATGGACAGGGTGGGCTCGTGCTGGCTTGCAATTTTAAGTAGGGTGGTCAAGGTAGGCCCTGTGGAGAGGGTGAGCTTTGTGCAAAGACCCAAAGGAGGTGGGGAACATTCCATGCTGCTCTGGGGCCTGGTGCTCCCACTTCTGAGGAACAGCGAGGAGACCTATGGGGCTTCAGGGAGCGAGAGCCACAGGAGGGAAGAGAGGAGATGAGGTTGGGACTGCCCGGCAGGCCATGGTGGGGACGCTGGCTTCCACCCCAAAAGGAATGCAGGTCATGAGTGCATTTTCCCCAAGAATGGCCTGATCTGATGGACATTCTGATAGGATTCCTCTGGCTGCATTTGAAAAGACGTTGTGGGGAAAGCGGTGACAGCAGGAAGACCAGATAGGGAGCAGTGGGGGAACTGCAGCACACCCAGTCCCAGTGAGAGCCGGACATGGCATGCATCAGATGGTAGAGCTGAGGAGAGGGTGGATCCTGGATGGAATTTGAAGTAAGAGTCAATTTGATTTGCTGAGGAAAGCCACGTGGGTGGGAGAGAAAGAGAAGGTTAGGGTGATGCCAACGGCTCTGGCATGGGCAATAGAAGGGTGATGTGTTGTTTGCTGATATGGAGAAGGCCTCTGGGTGAGAAAAATTCAACTTCACACAATCAAAATGCTCTACTGAGGACTCCCTTGGTTCGTGGTTAGTGGCTGCTAGCTGGACGTATGCAGAATTGCAGAGAACCACACCTGTTTGGTTCACTGCTGAGGCCCTGCCCTAGCCCCTGCGGGCCACATGGTGGTGTCTGTAGACTGTCCACTCTGGAGAAGAAAGCTCTGGGTGGCAGGAGGTAGTGGTAAGTAAGGCGAAGGGCCCACGAGGGAAGGGTAGGCAAGAGAGGCCTGGCACATCTTGGAAGTGCCTGTCAGCTGAAGGAAAGGGGTTTAATCTGTATAAGGCAGAGGGGAGGAATAAATGAGACCACTGGATTCAAGTTGCATGAGAAAGTTTTTGTTAGAACAACTTTCTAGCAATTAGCAGAGGTCCAGGAGGGAGCACGTTCCCCAACCCTGACGACTGTCCTGGGGAGAGCCTGGTTCTGCTCTGGAGTCTCGGTTGAGGAATGAGTAGAGACCTAGGGCGCCCTTCAGCCTGAGCATCTGTGACCTTCTAGGCTCCCAGTAGTCTGACTGCTCAAAGGTTGAGTAGCTGTGATTTCAGAAGCAGCGTTAGAAATTTAACCAAAGCAGTATAAGAGTTAGAGTTGATTATTGAGCAAAAACCAGTTCAAATTTGCATTTGATTGTGTTTCCTCTTCATCATCTACTTTTCTTTTCTTGTCCATGGGCATTTAAGCACACACCCTACAAAATTTTTGAAAATCAAATGAATTTTTCATTGTTGCTTTATAAGCCTAAGAAAAGATGTAGTGTTTGAAGGAGGGTGTTCTAAATGATGAATTACAAGAGGCGAGAGAATTTAGGCAATTGTGGTGTCTGGAGTTATGCAGGGGCATGCCAGGCAGCCAGCAGAGGTTGGTGGGGGCGATGGGCAGAGCAGCGACCTTTCTGCTATTGAGGAGAGCCTTGAATCTGTGAGTTAGGAATTCGTAGTTGTATCCTTGGCAGGCTATACCTATGAGTTTTTGTCCATGTGCTTTGGAAGCCTAAAGGATCTCTCAATTCTAATTCAGAAAGCAGCAGTCAGAGACAGATGCCGGCCTTCCGGGCAGAACTTCAATCTGGGCCAAGGGACTGGCTGCACTAAAAAGAAAACAATACCAAGACACCGAAGATTGACTGCTGAGTGGAAAAGCTTTCAGCCAAGCAAGGATGGGATTAGTACAGAGCCCATCTCTAGGGTATTTGGTGGGAGGAGGGGATCTGGGTAGATCTTTGAAAACCAGAAAGCTTTGCACTGTCTCTGTCCCATATTAGGAAGCAAAATCTCTGGGCCTTGCTTAGCTGGCTCTCTGCCAGGGTATCCTGGGCTGGCTGCAGCTGGTCCTCGGCCAGCGTGGGAGCCTGTGTTGGGATTAAGGCCTCTAGCTGCTTCTGCTGCATATGTGACAGGCCACATGTGTCCTACTTGGCTTATGTCCCTTGTCAAGTCTGGCCAGGTATCAGAGGCACAGTCAGGACTGGCCAGGTTTCTGCTTCTTAGGCCCAAGCCTCAGAAGGGGAATAGGTAGGAGGGTCAGGCACAGGGACTCGGTTGATGATTAAGCCATCAGGCCAGGGCCAGGAGACCCGACACAGACTGTCTGTGTCCTCTTGCTGGGCAACATTGTTGAGCACCATCATTGGTCAAAGAATGTAGATATTGCACACATCCAGGTGTCCTACAGAATTGCAATAAACCTTTTTACATCACTGGTAACGTTTCTCCCAAAGGGATTCTATGACTCTTAAGGAATTCTTTCCCCCTCTATTTCATAGCAATTACTAAGGGTTTCTTTTTTTTTAAGCCAATAATGCAAAATAAAAATCAATTTTATGCAAATTTTAAGCCAATCTCCAGTGGGGGATTGAAAAGGAAAATGGAGAAAGAAAACTAAATCAAATAGCAAAGCTTTAAAGAAAAATCTATCTGGGGGAATTTAAGTCTCACATCCTCGAAGTGAAGAGAATTTGCAAAATTCTCAGACAGTACTGAAAAGGTGGCAGAGAAAAGTCTGGGGAAGAGCCCCAGTGGGGGAAGACTAGATTGGAAACTTCCCAACTGCGAGAACACTAGTGAAAGTCAGAGATGGTACAGACACAGAGAAAGAATTCTTCACAGAGAAAGAATTCTCCATACAGAGTCATATACAGGTTTTGGAGGACTGCAGATACGAAGCTGAAAATCAAAAAATTGTAATTATTGTATATTTGTTGTTCTGTAAGATTCCCTCAGTAGTAGCATATTGGGAATGTATTGCTGATATCAGAGCTACTTCATCTCAGCCATTTCATAAAGTCACATTGTTTTGCACAAAAAGGAATTAGTGGGAAACTACTCTCAACTGTGAGACTTGCTCAGCATGCAGGCATTTTATTTCCTTGGTGGCAGCCCGTGAGTAATAGTGCAAGGCCTCTAACTGGGCACCTTTCCTCCTTCATGGCTGTGTTTCTTCCTTCCTCTGAACAGGCAGTCTTAGAGGTGCTAATGACAGCCCCCTGTGTAGCACATGACAGCCCCAAGTGCTGCAGCAGCTGTAGCCACATGGAGTCCCCAGCCCAGTGGTCCCACAGGACTGAAACAGGCATCCCCCTCAGTGGGAGGTGTCTGTCCAGAGGATCTCTGAGGGTCTGACAGGACATAAAATATGAAATACCTTGGTGGCAAAACCGGTGTGTCAAGGCATTTATAAGTACCTAATGTTACCAGCTGAGTGTGTTGTGTTTTCTCCATCCTTGTCCTCTCAAAGTAAATAATTCAATCAAGAGACAGATTTAGGAACAGTCTTAGTGGCAAAAGTTTATTAAGCAAAGTGAAAGCATACTCTCAAGATGGGTGGAAAGTGGTCTGCCTGGAAACCAGAGGGTTTTAGGGTTAGGGTTGGTTTTTAAAGTGGTGAAAAGTCCCTCCCTGCATCTTACCTCATTTAATTGAAGTGTTGATTGACATTTCAGGTTATATAACCTTCTTCCTGGTGCTCAGGCACTTACCCATAAGCACCCGAGAGAAACTCTTGGTGCAGGTGGTGGACACCACCGCAATGCACATTTATAACATCATTGCAGTGGTATGATGAACCGTGAGGTAACTCTGGGTCTTATATAAGACACCTCCTGGGTCTTAGTGTGTCTGTGGCCAACCTGTGTGGGTGGTGTGGAAGCCCAGTTGAGCTTTCTAACATCTTGTTTGGCCCTGGTAAGGCAGGAGAGAGACCCATAAACAGGAGGGGATTTGGGGGTGCTCTACCATGAATGGATGGACAGGGGGAGGACCTTGTCCAGGACAGGGTGGGACCCGCTCATGCCTGCCTAGCTATCTGACCCCCACTATGAGGAAATGGTCTTACTGAGAAAGGGCTTTCTTAGTGTTGGCTAATGGGAAGGGTTTCAACTGTTCAATTCCCTCCTCTTCCAACCCCCTCTCCTTCTCCCCTGTCTTCTTATCTTCCTCCCCCTCCTTCTCACCTCTTTCTTCAAGAAACTGCTTGATACAGTAATTAAGTAGAAAAACAAAACAGAAAACCCAAATCTTACCGTGAGAACTTCAAATCCAGGATTATTGATAGGGCCAGCATAATAAATTTGCTCTGAAAAATAAACACAATTTAAATCATGTTATTCAATCATTTAAAACAAAAATGATTTGCTCATATTATCTGTGCTCACTCTGCACTGGGGATCCAGTGATGAAAAAAAAGTCTCTGTCCAAAGGTTGCTTATATTCTAATGGGGACACTGACAATGCATAAATAACTAAGCCAGGCAGTTTCTAGATTGTAAAAAGGGCTAGAAGGAGACGCTCAGGTCAGGTGAGAGAGGCAGGTGGTGTGATGGTTAAGAGGCCAGGCCAGAGCTGGGCTGTGCGGGGTTAAATCTTGAGATGACCCCAGATGACTGTTTGACCTTGGACGGACATCTCTTTGGGCTCAGTTTCTTCTTTGTAAAATGGGTATAATAATGACAGCAACAGTTCCCACATTGTCGAGCTGTGAGGAATGAAAAAGTTAATCAATGTGAAGGACAACAGTGTCTGTCTGGAAAGCACTCACTAAATTCACTATAATTAAGCCCTGGGACATGTCATGTTTGATAGGGCTGGTCAGGGAAGGTGTCTCTTGGGAGGTGATATTTGAACTAAGCCCTGAGAGAGGAGAATGGGGCCACCGTTCAGAGAGCTGGGGTGAGAGCACTTCGGGCACCAGAACAAAGACAAAGCCCTGCTGGGGACAGAGTTTGGGGAGTTGGAAGGAGAGAAGGCTTATGGTTTTACCGAAGCCTAGTGAATAAAAGGGCCTGTGTTTGTTGAGAAGAGATTAGAAAGGAAGAGGAGACAGATACTCCAGGATGCTGAGGACATGGGGAGGGGAAAGGTACCTAGACCAAATGGGAATACCAGGTCATGTTTTCAAGAGGTCATTCTGCTGTGTGGGGACACTGAGGTGGAGGCTGCTCAGGGACCAAGGTGAGCGACAGGCTGGTGGGTCATGGCGATGGTGGAGGTGGAGAAAGATGAATGGAACCACGGCTCTGCAGGGAGACAGGGCTCACTCATGAGTGGCATATGGAGAGTGAGGGCAGGGGAGGGCCTTGGCTTGGGCATTTGGGTAGGTGGGGATGCCATTTATTGGGATTGGGTAGCCTGGGGAGGAAGATGTTTGGGGAGGATGTGGTGATTAAAGAGCTCTATTTCTGGGGGGTGGTTATGAAGAGTCCTTGAGAGCAGCTGGATACATGAATCTGGAATTTTGGGGAGGAGGTTAGAGATAGCACTGTGAATGGTGGAGTCCTTAATCTGTAGATGGTGATAAAGCCATGGGACAGGCTTGCATCTTGCCTCTTCTTCCTGCTTATTGGGCAAATCACTAACCTTTCTGTACCTCCTAGAGGATAGAACTAATAGGCAGAGAAGGGGAAAGTGCCAAGGCCACTCGTGAGGCCCTCAACGCTTGAAAGTTGGGCAGAGGAGGAGAAGCCAGCCAAGGAGACTAAGAAGGAATGACTGTGGAGTGGAGGGTCGCCAGAGAGTGCGGCATCAAAGAAGCCGGAAGATGAATTTGAGCAACTGTTTTGAATGCTGCTGAAGTTTGTGTAGGATAAGGACAGAAATGTAGAATGAATTTGACAACACAGGTGTCATTTGGTGATGTTGACTTGGACTTTGGAGAAGTGAGAGCAAATGCCCTATAGGGGTGGGTTGAAGAGTGACATGGAGGTGAGGAAGTAAAGAAGCAGAGAAAATGAATGAAAACTGGAGGAAGACATGGAGCTAAGAGTGGTTTGTTTCTTTACTTCAGTCAGAAGATACTGCACCGTATTTGTCATTTGAAGGGAACGATCTTGTAGAAAGAGAGAGAAGATGCAGAAGACCAGGTATGACTGAGGGAATGAAGTGTTCAGGAAGACGGGAGGGGTGGATGTGCCTTTGATAGGAGCACAAAGGTTGCTCGCATATTTGTAGGAGAGAAAACAGAGCGGAACGGGTTCAGATGCAGATGTATTTGCAGATGGGCCAGTGGACCAGCAGGGCTCCTGTCTGGTTACCTGTTTTCTAAAAGTCATCATGGACAGTGGGGAAGACATTTATTTGAAGAACAGAAGGATTGCTAGGCAGTGTTGAGAGCTTTTTTTTTTTGAGATTTGTGGCCCAGATGTGTAGTTTCTCAGCAACATTCAGTAGCTCTGGTGCAAGCATACGAGTGAGTAGATGAATGAGTTGGAGTTTTGCTGGACGAGAATGATAAGGAGAAAGCAAGGCTGTGGGGATAGATGCAGGGGAAAGCTTATACTGATAGACCATGGAACCTAAGGAAGGAAGGAAGAAAATGAAGGCAGAAGGGGTTGACTGCTAAGAAAAACCCTGATGAAGTCGGTTAAATGGAGTTTCCATCATTGCAATCAAGGTTTAGAATAGGTGAGCTGGAAAGATACGGTGAAGGCTTGCTGGACAATCATATTTCAGAAGTGCATTTACTGGTGCTGACAACATGCAGGATTGACTGGAAGACAGTGGCTGAGGTGGAATAATGGAAATGGTCATTGGAAGCAAGGAGGTCAAGCGCTGAGATATCGTGGTGCTGGGTGGGCCACTCACGTCAGTATGGAACATTGGAATCTTGCCTCGCTCCTCAGATGGTGGTGAGTGCCACCATCTGGAATTTTGGGGAGGAGGTTAGAGATAGCACTGTGAATGGTGGAGTCGGAATTAATCTGTGGGGAATCTGTGATTCCCCAGCACCATGCACTTAGCCTATTACAAGCAAAGTGGCTAAGAGCACAGACTCTTGCATCAGACTGTCCCGGCTAGGCTTGCATCTTGCCTCTTCTTCCTACTAATTGGGCAAATCACCTAACCTTTCTGTACCTCAGTTTCTGAAAGAGGCAATGGGAGTAATAATAATATCCAACTTATAGAGTCAAATGAGTTAATACATGTGAAACCCTTACAATAGAATCTGGCACATGGTAAGGACTCCATAGGTGTTTGCCATTAATATATTCATTTACCAGTCCTCACTGCCGGGCATCCATCCAGTACAGGCCAGGCACTATTCTCGATGCTGGATGCAGTAGTAGACAAGAATATTATGTGAACCATTTGAGTCACTGGCCACTCAGAATTGTAATCGTTTGTTTGCAGACTGTTTCCTTCACCAGCCTGGGATGCTATACTGTATTTGCTTAGTTCCCCACACACTGCACAGAGTCTGACATACAACAAGGTGCAATATATGGGTATTGCATGAGCATATCCTCTGCAGGGCACTGCAAGGACTAGAGAACTTGCACTTAGTCCCTGAGGAGAGTGGGCTTCTTGGTCAGGGCAGACACAGTCATGATTAATTGTGTGTTATTCACCAGTGCAAGAAGAGTAAAGGAAGCAAGGCTCCCTTGGATGCCAAGGAATGCACTGAAACTGGGCCTTGGAGCCTTTGTTGCAGGGCCAACAACTGCTAAATTCTGTCCATGCATTTAAAAAAAAATTTCTGCTTTAAAAAAACAGACGAGAACAGCTCTCCGAAGAACACCATGAAAAGGATATCTAACATTCTGTTATACTGGCTGGGAGATTTTCATTACATCAGTCTCTTCTTACACTTTACAGTTTCAACTGGAGCTTTTCTGGGGGCCCACGGAGTTGCTGAGAACTGCTGCAAGTAACCCATGAAGCTGTGGGGTTTTTTTAACCTGATGAAACAATGTCTATAATTAAGTCCTCACTCCTTTCTTTTTCAGATGCTCTCCGATTCTGAGACTCCTCTGATTAACATTCTCACACTCCTATAAAAAAGCCACAGTATATTTGTACCCACTTCTTCCTTGCCTTCATATGAAATCTTGATCAGTTTTTAATAGGTGCTGGATTAAAGAAATTCACCTCCCTCGTTCTGAATCCATGAAGTCATTTGCGCTAATCAGTTTTTTTTTCTTTTTTGACCCAGATCTCTGGTGTGGTTAGCACACAGTGTCTTTTTAGAGAGGAAATGCATTTTTAAATTGTGGAAATAAAAGGTCCCAAAGGGCTTCAGATTAGACTGACATGAGGCTCGGGGCTGCATCCTACTTCGTAGTCTTTTGTTCTCAACAACCAGCGCAGATGCTGGCCTGGAAGTGCCGGCTCAGCGCTTTGGCTCTCGTAGGCAGCACCCGAGCCATTGCGTAGCCCTTGGTAGTATCTTAGTGGAATTCCCTCTGGTCTTTCAAGTTTAACACGAGAGTGTCATCAATATTTAAGCATTATATTGTAATTATAATAGGGTGCCTGACAATGTAAACATACTTAGAGTTATAATTTATCATAAACAGGCCAATTAGTGTACTCAGAACAAAGATTTAAAAAAATGCCACTTACTCATTTACTTGGCTTTGAGCCCCTTTCCTAACTGCTGGGTCAGTGGGGGGGGGGGCCCAGGGGAGGAGGACACAGCCCTTACCCTCCCTCCAGTGCGTGGGGGCCTGGGAAGCCCCCCTACAGTGGTTCCTAAGGGCAGTGGCCTCACAGTGGTGGGAGAGGCAGGGAGAATGTTCCAGGCAGACCAGGAGCCTCACCTTGGGAGTGAGAGGGAGCAAGTGTCTGACTGCATTTCCAGGAGCTCTGAACACTGTCTTCTTTCCCTCAATTTCCCTAAAGAGCCGTGAACCTGGCAGCGGGCAAGGCGCAGGCGGCACCCTGAGCTCCTGTGCTCTGCCTTCAGCTCTGCCTTCTTCAGTCTCCAACCCTGGGAGGTATGAGGGTGTTTGCTGGCCCCACCAGGCACTGAGCTCATTTAAATTAATAATGAACTGCAGAGGGGTCAGTAGGACACTCAGAAGTGCACAGGGTGGGTGGGTGTGACTGTAGATGGAATGCCCTTGGGGCCGAAAGCCTCAAGGTTCCAGCAAGGTTTCAGAGGATTCTGGGCAGTGTGGGTAGATAGCTGCAGGCTAAGCCCAGGCCTGGTTTTTATATTTTTACATTTTTTCAGTGTGTCCTACTTTGTCAGCTTCTCCATCTCCAGGGCCATTTTACCTGCTATTCTCTAGAGCATTCTTTATGTGTCCCCGAGGGGAGGCCAGCAGAGGACTTCAGTGCTGGAAGCATGCCCATGCC